CAAATATAATGTAATAGAATAATATGTTGCCATATTAAAATAATATTATACCGGAGAACGAATTTATATCTGCAATTATAATTTGATAAAAAAAAAAAAAGATTCAAGTTCTTAATTTAACGTTTTAATGATTTACTGATACTGTAACGTTACACTTGCACATGATATTTATTTTACATTTCAAAATTTAGCGTTAGTTTCTAAAAAGAATGCTTTCTAACACACTACTTTTCTCAAGCGATCTCATCTCATCTGAAGTTCAGGCTGCTTTACCTAAAGGTCACACCATCAGACCTTTATCCAGTAAAGACTATGAAAAAGGTTTTCTTCAACTCTTAACAGTGCTCACTGTTGTTGGGGACATTTCTAAAGCGCAGTTTCTTGGTAAAAAGTCTACTAATGTTAAGTGCTAAAGACTTGTTACGTTAACTAAAGAATTTTTCTACATTTACAGAGCGATTCCATTATTTGAAAGCTCATAATCATGAGTATTTTACTCTTGTAATCGTTTCTCCTGAGGATCGAATCATAGGTGCTGGGACTATATTTATTGAACGAAAGTTTATTCGTAATACCGGATTGGTCAGTAATTATATACGCGATTTTAAACAAATGATTCATAATAAACGCTCGATTCATTTATTTAGGTTGGACACATAGAAGACATTGTTGTTGATGAAAAGCAGCAAGGAAAGAAACTTGGTCTCAGGTATCTACTAATCGTCTTCATGAGTGTACTAAGATTTTAAATTTTAATATTCATACTGCATTTAGAATTATCCAAGCTCTTAAATATATCGGTATGAAAACTGGTTGTTACAAAGGTATATCATTTGTTCATAAATAATATATACCTTTTTTGTATTTGATTTTTGTGTAACATTTTTTGTAATTTCAAGTTATCTTGGATTGTGATGAAAAGGTATGTCTTAAAAAAAAAAAAACATTATAATACTTTTATTTCGTGTATATCATTTTAACTTATTTATGCACTTATAGAATGTGCCTTTCTATCAAAAATGCGGGTAAGAAAAATATCGATTTTTTTTTTTTTCCTTTTTTTTCCTTTTTTTTTTTTTACGAACAAGAACTTTGATCTCAATTTTGTATTTAGTTTTACTCGAAAAGGATGTGAGATGGCATGGTATACCGCAGACGATTCACCAAAAGCCAAATTGTAAAAATAGAATAATTATAAATTAATTTTAATTTTTGAAATTATATATTTATTATTAGTTTTTATTAGAAGTCGATCCCATCATAACTATTAATCCAATTTTCTATTGGAGGTCTACAAGTCTTTATTTATCAACAACTTTAGATAAATTATTTAACTTCTTTATTATTACTTCTATTGCGCTTTTCAACTGATACGTGTACGTCTTATTCATATCTATTGTGAATAATAAAGTCACAATTAATATTCGATTCCTTCATCCGGGTCAGGGTCTGGAGGCATACCTCCATGAACCCGTCTTTTAATACTGACTGACCGCTCATTAGATGCCATAGGAGTAACGAAAGTTGTTGTACGGTATTTGGCATGAGGAACTTTAACCTGAATTGGCGAACCATCACGTAACCAAGCGTTAGGCGTGAAAGGTGTAGAAGTGCCAAATGTAGTCACAGGAATAGGAATGCTAGCAGTTGGTGAATTTAGGCCAGTAAAAGTTGTTGTTGTTGTTCCATTGGTAGGAACTGTTGTGTCAGGTACAATTGGATGTAGACCAAAAGTTGATGTCGTTCCACTGGCAGGAACTGTTGTAACAGGTACGATAGTAGTTCCACTGGCAGGAACTGTTGTATCGGGTATGATAGTAGTATCATGAGTCCTACCTGAATCACGTATTAATTTATTATTAGAAGATCCATTTGTGATTGTACTTATTATTGGTGCATCAGTACTTTCGTCTAATTCTTTTTCTTAATAAATTTTTTTTAGAGTTAGCATTCATTCAATTACGAAATATTTTTGTATTTGATAAATGAAAATGATATAAAGTACCTATTTTTGCTCTAATTTCCGCGATTCTAATTTCCTCCTTTTTCCATTGATAATTAACAAACCACAATCGTAATAAACCAAATATTAGAAAGATAAAGATCAAATATTCTATAATAAAAGTTGATAAAATTAAATTATTGAAATTATTGAAAATATGTCATTATTATTCAAGATGCTCACCCACACTATGTATTATAATAGGAGCAGAACTCCAACGTTGTCCAAGTGTTATCATAACAAATTCACTATGAAAAAATATTTAATTCAGAAATTATCATAATTAGTTTTACTTTTATACTAGAACTCTTACCGATGAAATTGGGTAGACGTAATGACGAATAGAAACCCAAACAATCCAACATGATACATTAGGATAGTTTTCGAGTTGTTTACATGATCTTGATATTTATTTCTGGGTAGCTCTTGCTTAATAATCAGTTGGCGAACTAGAAAAGGTAGTGGGAGGGACTTCTTAGGCGGTTTAGATATTAGCTGTTGTCTTGGTTTAGAATAAGGAGTAGATTGTACAAGTGCAGACGTTTCTGCTTGTCGAGATCGTATTGAAGTTTTGTTTTGTGACTGTTGAAATAATGAAGTTCGAAATGTAGGAGTCTGCGCCGACCTTTCTTGTACAGTCGTCGTAGACACGAACGACCTGTTTTCGTCGAAATTCATAGATTGGTCAAGTAAGATTTATAATTCAAGGAATAACGATAAACTGTCTTTTTGAAAATCACATCTTCACGATAAATGGCCTGCATTAAATAATTTGTCAAAAATTTAATTTAGGGTTACAATTATAACGTGTATTATTCTGTATAATTAATTAGGTGGTATAAAATTAGTATTATCTGGTATTATCTGGTATTAATCGTTTGGGGTTTCTCCAGATGCACAAACTCTATAAAACATAATAATATAACAAATACTAAAATTTTTTATTTAAGTTTTCAGAATTACAATACTATGCTAACAAAGAATAAAAATTTAAATCAAAGTTAAAGAAATATGTTGAGATTTTAATAAATAAATATTTTGTTATTAAATAACAAATAAATCCAAACAAAACTTGGTTATAACTCTTTTTACAAATTATTTAAACCAAATTTATAGTAGAAAAAAAAGCAAAAAAAAAACTACAGAATCTGCTTAAAAAATATAACAAGATATATTAAAAAAGAGGTTTTTTGATAAAGAAAAATATATATGCAAAAAAAAAAAAATTAGATAATTTTAAGAATATTAAATAAGAAAAAGAAATTTTTAGTTGAAATTTTTTGTTTTGTTAAAAAAACTTTTAGAGAATAATAAAATTTCAAAAAAATTTTTATACAAAAAATTCTATTATAAATTAGCTAAACAAAAAACAAAACATAAATTTTTTTTTTTTTTTAACTTAGATAATTTTATTTTTGATTTATTAGTAGACGATTTTATAAAAAAATCATAATATAAAAATAAAAAAAAAGCTAATGTTCTAAACTACTAATATATTTCATTCTTGCAATTTTGAATTTATTCAGCTTGCCTTGTATTGCTTAGATATGATCTACTACAAAAAGTATTTATCTTCTTAAATGATATCTTATCTAAGTAGAGTAGTTCTTTTGGATTAACAATAGATTCTTTTACACCTTATTAAAGTCTTAGGTTGCTTCTAATCTAATTAAAACTTAGGGTTCTGATGTTCAGTTCAGGTTCAGTTCGGTTTGGGTCGAACCCGAACCTGAACTAAACTCGAACAGCAATTTTTACTAATTTCAAACTTGAACCTGAACTCAAACTCATAATTCTCAAACCTGAACTAGACTCAAATATAGTAATAAGTTTGGTTTGAGTTCAGTTTGAAGTTCACAAACATGTTCAGGTTCGAATATGAAATATTCAAAAAAAAGGTTTTCAATTCCTGAAAACTTTTCAGGAATTGAATCCATAAACTATAAACTGTACTATTATATAAATAGAGCTTTAACTTACACTTTTTTTGTGTTATCAAGGCGGCTTACATTGCCGAAGGAATTTTATTAGAATTGCATACGGGA